AAGATGATTTGAAACACAGAAAACTGTTCCTCTGGCAGTATAGAAGTGGTAGTGGTTGAATCTTCCAATGGCATTTCTGTTACAAATCTAGGATGGTTTTGTGGGAGTTGAGGCTAAAAAAAGAAAAAAAACAATATTGCATGATCTTAAAATTCAGTTTATGGTCCTAATTTTGGTAGCACGTCTTTAATTTTTTTGGTCACAGGGAGAAAATGAGTAGGAATTCTAGGTACACTGATAAATACAACCAGACAGTAATTGATCTCCTGAGACCAGGAAACCTTGAGCTCTTGGGGACGGGAATTTCAGGCTTTCTGTCAACTGATTTGTGAATCTTTCCCATACTTATGTCTAACCTACATTATATATGGGACCGGTCATACTGCACTTTTTGTGAACTGTGTCTCTTAAATAGAACCAAGGCATTCTGAGAACCTGCAGGGAATGAAGTGTCATCCCGCTGTCACTCTAGCTGTTGATAAGTAGGCACGGTATAAGCACTATTTCTAATGTGACACCTTGTGTTTCAAATATATGTGGTTGGCACATTTGTCTTCAGTGGATTAAATAAAACACCTGTCATCTTTACCATTTAAAAATATTTGGACAGATGTTTTCTTTTTCACTGCTTTAGTAATAGCACGGCTTTTTACAAAAGTGATCACTGAGAAGTTAGGTTGTGGCCACAACTAGGTGATGTGTAAACCCACATTTCTGGATCTCTTTGTTCTTCATAGAAAACAGTGTCAACTTTATCATCTTTTCTCATGGAAAGGAAAAATAGTACAAGTAAAGTCTTGAATGTTGCAAATAAAACTATAGTTAAATTGTGATACCAGCTACCATGTGACTTTTCTTTGGTAACTGATTTATCTTCCTGTTTCGCCAGAGTTGGGAAAGTTCTTAATCAATAATCAAGGTGGTGTCCTTTAATAACCTTGGAGCAGTCTTTGAGCTGTACCTTTCCTAATTATTATTCATGGACAAACAGAATATTAAAATTAAGTTGCATTTCTAGAATGTACCAACATGCTAGGAGAAGGATGTTGATTCACATTCTGGGTGATCAAGACAAATTAGACCAAGCTAAAAAAATTGTAAATGGCTTATATAATGAATAGTTGTTGATTGGTCTTAATTTTATCTCTGCCTTCATATTTTGTTTTGTTTTTATGTAGTAAAAAGTTCTCTTAATCCTATTGTTCTGATGCAAGAAGCATAACAATTTCTCTTTTTTTCCTGCTAACATTTGCAAAAGGGCACATCTACTGTGAGCCATACAGTTTTCCATTGTTTTTGTCATAACATTTAAGCGAGAGAAGAAAATGTTGAGCAAAGAATTTTCATCCAATAGCTTTAGCAGAAACATTGAAGCCCTACAATGTTCAGTGATTAGATAGATGTTACTCCCATTTCTGGATCATGGGAAGTGATAAACACGGGGGTGAATCAAAGCCCTAGGAACTTTGCGTTGTGATACCAGAATAAAGAAATGAAGGAGAAACTATGACTTTTGATAACATCATAAGACTAACTCTGATATGAAGGGTGTTCCCGAGTTTTTATTTACTTTGAAATGAGAAGGTGTGACTAAACTTTTTGAGAGCGCTGGGTATGAGTCACCTTACATTTCTTGACAAGTGTTAGTGTTTATGATTCAGGAATGTATTTTGGAAATTTTTAATTATTTATTAGAGGTAATAGGTGGTTTTGGTGAGTTTTAATGCAAAACTAGTGAGTAGCGTGGGTAAGCAAGGCAGATGAACTTCATAGAGTAAGAGCTGTGACTCCAGATACCCATAAGGCCCTTGGAAAAATGAATTGACACATTTGTAACCTCAAATTATGTTGCTGGGGACTTTGTCTGCAGGGTGCTTAAGGCTGTCTTACTGGTGCATTAGTATTTCTTACTCCTAATAGCTGTTTAGTAGAAAAATGAGTTCAGTGGTCAGGCATATTTGGCAAACATTTGGTTTTTTGGTTTGGTTTTTTGGATTTTTTATAATATTCAGATGCTTATATATTGAATGTAAACAATTTAAATGGTATTTTTTAA